CGCTCTTCCGGCAGAAACTGCAGTAGAAGTTGTCAAGTTTTTCGCCGATTGCACCTTCGGTACGGTGTGCCCGAGGTCCTGATCATGGACCGGGGATTATCTTTCATGGCACAGTTGACTCAAGAAATCCTTCTGCTTAGTCACACCAGCCACCGTCGCACCACTGCGCACCACCCGAAGACCAACATCCTGACGGAGCGACTCAAGACTATCGCCGACATGATCTCGATGTACTTCGACGTAGGGCGCAAAACGTGGGACGAGGTGTTGCCCTATGTCACTTTCGCATACAACACGGCGGTTCAAGAGACCACTGGAGTTACACCCTTCCAGCTGGTAAATGGTCGGAAGGTAACGACCATACTCGACGCGATGCTGCCCCACGATCCAGCTGACGACGGTAGCGACGACGACCAGGTGGTTCCCCAACAGGCCGAAGAAGTCCCCAGCTCGGCCAACTCCGGATTCAAGACCAGCAACCCGTCGACGCTGGCCGCTACAACCTTCGTCACCGAAACGTCCACTTCCAGCCCGGAGAGAGGGTGTGGGTGTAGACGCCCATCCGTCGCCACGGCCTCAGCGAGAAACTTTTGAACGGTACCTTGGGCCATAAAAGGTACTTCGTCGCCTCGGGGAGCTCAACTACGTAGTGGTGACCGACACGGAACGCAAGCATAATCATGACATCGACCGCGACCCGAGGTGGTTCACGTCGTTCGATTTAAGCCATTCTACACTCGATAGGACTGTTGACTTTTTTGTGTTCCAGATTACCTTTACCGTTCTTTCTTATTTGCGTTGTTTTGTTTCGTACGACATCGGGGCGATGCGCTTTTTATAAGGGAGGAGTCATGCCATGCGCGTCGTCGAGCGAGCGCGTGCGTGGCCGAATAGTTACCGTGCTTAGCTTCCACGCGGCGGCCCCAGGCGCGGCCCCAGGTTCGATTCCTGGAAGTGGCCGTTTCGTCTATTTATCCTTTCAATTTAGCGTTCTCATGAGTTCGAGATCCTGGTCTTCTGATCGAGGTCGGAATGTTCTACGCGCCGGACTTTCTACGCCGATTGTTTGAGAAGCCCAGGCGTTTCCATAAGGGTCTCCGCGTGGCGAGCCGAAGTCAGTCTCGCTGGAGCGTTCAATCCTGCTGTTTCGCCGACATCGACGCCTGCGACGCTAAGCTTCTTTTACTTTGTTTTGGGCACGAGCTCGCTCCATTAAACGTTTAGTTTTGTACACGGCATATGTCACTCCTGACAATATGCCGTGTACAAAGACTTTCACCTCTTTTCCGAACGCCCAGCTTCAAACGTTCCAAAGCCTAGTAAACTATAGTGGAAACAAGTTAAGAGTTCAGGGGAAGCTCCTCCCAGCTCTTTACACATTAGCAGAATAAACGCTGAGAGGAGGTCGATCTCTCTCTAGCGTTCGCTCTGTTAAAGTGGAGATTTCATTCACGCTATCAGTTCTACCGGTTGCAAATAAACGTCGCTTCAATCTTCCGTACTTTTGCGAGCTTCGATGAAGTTTGTGAGAGTGTTGGGGTCCCGCGGGCAGGACGCGTACTCCCGGCAAAGCCTGACCAACGTTTTATAAGCTGCAAGCTTCACTTCTATTGGGGCTCTCGAAAGCTTCCGTCGGATTTCCCAGCCTTGACAGTGAACGTGAAATCGTTCTTGTAATTAACCCGGCCATAGGAGTTTCTGTCGTGGCAATTCATCGCTCGCAACTTGTGCAACAAACCCTACCCCGGACACAGAGAAGAAAGTAAAACAGAAATCGGCCAGGACGTGGTATAGCTTCGCGCTGGACGTCGAAGAAACACGCAGTGCCAAAAACCGCGAAGGAAAAGAGCGGCGGTGCACGTCCCCGGGCGACCACACCCCTAATCAGCAGCCTTCCTCGGCCACGGCGGTCGGTGGTGAACGGCGGTCTTTCTGCGAAGGCCCTTGACTCGAATCGCCCCCTGCCCCGAAGTGGGTCAGGGGCACGGGAAGCGAGTTTTCCTACCGCCGAACTCGCCCCTGGCCAGGGTGCAATGCCGCGTCGGCCAGGAAGGGCCGTTGCCGGTGGCACGCGGCCAGAGACCATAGTCACAGTGGCACTTGCCGAGCGCTGCAAGCGCCCAACAACGCTTTCGCGGGTCGCCTCGGGGGCTCCGTGGCAAAGCGAAGGCCTGTCCCCGGTGGCGAGTTCGAATCCCTGCCGAGGCGCCCGAAATTCGACGAATTCGTATTGCGGAGAAGGCGCCGTGTAACCAAATTGTCACTTGCGCGTAATAAAAAAAAAAAAAAAAAATGCAGGTGGTTGAAATTAATTTCGTCTTCCGCTGGGGCGTGCCAGATGACATTCGTCGGTTTGCGAAAGGCAAGTTCGTCTGCTGCTTCTTTTGCAGGGGTTGTGGTGACGTCAGAACGCCGAGCTTTGATTAGCCTTGATAGAAGGATAGTGGGTAGACCTCAAGGCAGCTTGCTTCGAGGCCTACCCACTATCCTTCGATCAAAGCCAATCAGAGCTTGGCGTTGTCTTCCGAACCCCTGCAAAAGAAGAAGCAGACGAACTTGCGCTCCGCATACACCGTTTCACATTAACTCCGACCCCAGCCAACGCTTACGTCTGATGGAACCAAACAATTGCAAGAGCAAAAGTGCATCGTCATGGCGCTCGTCGTCTTTGTGTGTTTGTTATCATCGGCTGAGCCAATCACAGCAGAGAAAAAAATGAAAGCAGGATCACGCCGCATTTACTGCACGTGATTGGTTTAGCCAGTAACAGGAAACACACAAAGACGACAAGTGCCGTAGCGATGCACTTTTGGTGCTGCAATTGATTGGCTCCGTCAGGTTGTAGCGTTGGCAGCGGTAGGACATGAAACGGAGTATACTATACGGCGAGCAAGTTTGCCAAAATCTGTCTTTGGTGCGTCGGAGTGCGAGGAGGAGAGGCCAAATAGAAGAGCAGTATCGGGAACGCGCAGAAAACGCGCGATGACGAGACAGCCAAGCGCGCGTTCCGCCATTGGTCGACGTCGTGGTGCAAACAAAGAAAGCTCGTTGGTTTCTTTTGGGTGCTAAACAAACGCGCGTAAGGCGCGCGGACGAACTTGCTCGCCGCAGAGAGTTTCCTCGGCGACGCCTTTTGCGAGCGCGTCACTTCGCTTCGCTACGAGATAACGGTGACCAATCGTACCGCGTCAAAAGCGCAGCGTCGTGGTGTCCGCCGTGTTTCTGTGTACGTGTTCTACAGGCATCGCTGAGCCAATCGCAAACAGAAAACTTCGGCTGCGTTTGGACTTTAGCCGAAGCGAAGTACAGATCGTCAATCACTGGCCGAATCTGCTTTAGGGGAAGTCCTTGAGCAACTCCTCGTACATGACAATTGCTAAGGGGCTGAATTTTTATCGCCACACTCGAAGGGTATAGGGCTGTGCGGCTGAAGTTTCGCTGCGCATACGCAGCGCCACCCCTCCCCCTGGCGAGGCGCGCCGATACTTGTTAGAAGTACGAGGAGCAGACGACGCAGGAGGCTGGTGCGCTAGTGCTGGCCTCGCGCTTCGTAAAGTAATGTACCGAATGCAAAAGGCACCCAAATGTCACATCATCGTATTAAACAGAAAGGTCCGCCTCCCAAAAAGTTTTGTTTAGTTCCTGGGAGGTGATTCAAGAAAGATCGCCAGAAGCATGAACCGGCAGCTGTGCGGAGGACAGGTTTAATTATTGTTTCTCTATCTTGTCGCGTGATTCAGTAGTGCAGCTACTCTTGCTTGTCACATTAATAGGGAGTTTTCGTAGAAGGGTTTGGATTTGGGCTAGTTGGTTGAACACGCTTAGGGGTAAAAGCGCTAAAAACGACGGACGAGTAGGAGAGACACGCTCTGTGGAGTTTTCGTACGTCACACGCGAGAGCATGCAGGAGTTTTGCGTTGCTTGGGGGCGGTATGAGCTGGCGCTCGTGAGGCCCGCAATCCGACACTGACGTTCTACGATAAGTCCCTAATCTAATAGCTATGATGGATCCCCATGGCTGTCTACAAACGAAACCCGAATATGCAGTTACCATTTTTTTTTTATAAAATACTCTAAATTTGAGAACCAAGCTCACTATGCTTACCCGCTCATTTTGTTGCGGCAACAGACTTGGGGAAAAATTAGGCAGATAATCGTAGCCTCTATTGCGTACTGACTTGAACGTATAATTGAACAGAAATTGACGGTTGTATTTTAGTTTTTCTATATAATATTAAAATGATGTAGTTAGCCCACAACAGGCAGAATTACTTCCTAAGGGCGTCACAAAATTAGACACTAGATCCTCCCTGGGTCGACCAATTTGAGCGTGTTGGCAATGTTAGATGTTCCTAATGTAATAGCTAGGATTGTTCCCCGTGGGTGTCGACAAAATAAACCCGATTATGCAGTTACTATTTTTGAACAAGTTTAAATTTGAGAACCCAGTTCACCTTGCTTACTAGCTAATTTTTTATTTTGATACATTAGTGGAGACTGGGAAAACTAGAAACATCAACCGTGGACAGAAAGAGGCATCTCTCATACACGGTTAATATTTTTAGTTTTTTCGCCCCAGCCTCGGGCAATTCATCCAAATTGTTAACATGCACACCGGCTCGCCTGCGCTCTCACAGTAATTTCTATCAATTTTGCTCCCTGGTGCTTACAAGAGAAGGCGAGTAAGCAACGAAAGACATGAGGGCCAATGAGGTAGATATTCATAGCCCGTATTGAGCACTGACTTGAGCGCATAGTTGAAAAGATATTTACACTGACGGCCGTACTCTAGTTTTTTTTTATATTATTAAAATTATGCAGTTAACCTACAACAGGCATAATTACTTTCCAAGTAACTCTAAAACATCAAACCCGGACATTCCTCGGTCAACCAATAAGAGTGTGTTGGCAATGTTCGATGTATAAATTGAGAGCCACACCAGTGGCATCAAAGGGTAGTTACCATGAGTTTGCAACTCTGCTTCAATTACCCCTTGCAGAGGACGTACCCGGCCTCGATGCCGCAGAGCCGCCGCCGCGGTCCCCGAGCGGGCGGCAGGGCGTGCGCCAAAGCGTTGGCCAGCGTGCTCGCCTCGCTCTCTGCGGGCCTGCTGCTCCTGCTCCTCGGCGGACAGGCGCCTCTCAAGCCCCGAGACGACAACAACTTGTGGACGGGCCCTCCGCGATGGGTCGTGCTCCAGGACAACGTGACCGTGCACAGGGGCTCGGCCTACAACCCCCACAACTTTTCCTACCTCCTGGACAATGCCGAGCTGTGCGACCCCGCGGCGCCTCCCAAACTCGTCGTCCTCGTGGCTTCCGACTCCAGGACAGGGGCCGAGCGGAGGCAGGCCATCCGGGACACCTGGGGCCAGCGTATCCTACAGGAAGCCCTGAGCTTTCGCATCGTGTTCCTCCTGGCCAACCCCGGCAACCAGACGTCGGCTTCGTCGCTGCTGGCGGAGAGCTACGCCTATGGCGACTTGGTCCAGGAGGACTTTCCAGAGTCCTTCGAGCACCTGGCGCTCAAATCAGTGATGGGTCTCAAGTGGGTCGTGACCCGGTGCCCTGGAGCCGACTTCGCGCTAAAGACGGACGACGACATCTTGGTGCACGTGCCTAACCTCTTGGCCGCCCTGGAAGAAGCGTCGCCCCTGGGGGACGCCATCTTGTGCCGCTCCAATCCCGTCCGACGGATCCTACGCCGGGACGAAGGTCCCCTGCCTCTGCGTCATCTCAAGTACTGCGTAGGCCGCGACGTGCTCCCTGGCGAGCTGTTCCCGCACTACTGCGGCGGCTTCGCGTACGCCTTCACCCTGAGCGCCGCTCGAAGACTCTACGAGGCGACCCTGGCGACGCCTGTGTTCTTCATCGAGGACGCCTACGTGACGGGCTTCTGCAGGCTCAAGGCCGGGCTACGGACACTGGGGCACCCCGGGATCTCTCTGATCCCCCGAGTGAGCCCCGTCAGGGCCAGCTGTGCCTTCGGTCGGGAGGGCAGGATCACCTCGCACGAGCTGGGTCCGTCGGACATGCAGGCGCTCTGGAAGGAGATCAACACCCAGGGCTTCTTCTGCCCGAGGGTCGTGGGGGTCATTGCTCCGGCCGCGAAACCACGCCGATACTGATCACACGGACTAACAGCTGGAAGCCTGTGCTTTATTCGTGTTGGTGAGAGGGAAAGGACCCGTACTCGATCGCAGCGTGACGGGTTGGATGCTTCGAGGGCTGCCGCACGCCCAACAGTGATGTGTCTTGTGGTCACTTGAGACTGCGATCCATGCGAGCTCCAGCTAGCCGAAGAGACCAAACGCCAGGGGTACGGGCCCAACGACCCTCCAAATACTTCCGTGCGTAACCTGGTTGAACTTCAGGTGAAATTAGGACTTTGCAGGTTGCACTAAAATCAAGCAAGAAGTGCTACAACCAGCGGAGCTGTCCTGCATCAAGAGCGCTTGCTAATTCGACTTAATCTATTTCCCAAGAAAAGATGCACCGCTGCAGTGGCCAGCCGCTGTTGTACCTCATTCCAGTTGGTATCTGCCCTCTTGTGTCAAACAGGTACTATCGCGGACAATATAAGCTGAAACCGTCTTTGGTGCTTATTTGGTGTACCTACCAGTATCTCAGAGCTCTGTGGTTCAAACTGGGAATAGAATCCGAAGCTGAGATTCCACACTTCGGACTGCTTTACAAATTGATACCTTATAGAGCTTGCGGGGATCGCAGACGCATAAAAATGCCAGGTCGAGTGTTTCAGCTCATATTGACCGCGGGTGTACATTCCGTGCCTCGAAAAGTGTTTACTTTTGAAGCACACGAAACAGAGCCTGTTGTTAGCATTACCGAAGTAATTCTTTGACCAACAGACAGAGAAGCATTCAAAATGGCACGTTTCGAATTCCGAGTAGCCAATTATTTTGTGCAACATTTGTTTTAGTAGGGTTTTTAAGTAAAAAAAATACTCTAGCTAAAGGGACACTGACATTTCAAAAATAACATATTCTTGTCGAAACACTTACTACCCTTTACTAGAACCGCTGTATCAGCTACGCCTGTCAACAATCCAATATCCATTCTTTTTTTCCAGTGTCGTTATTTTGATGATAAATGGGCGCAATTGGCGATAGTTTCCATTCCAAAATGTGACTTCCTGAGCTTGAGATACCGTCGGGGAGCTCGGGTGGTATCGCTTTGCTCTGTAGCAGACAATTTTAACAATCTAGAAAATGGAAACGCGTTTTCTGCGATTTTAGACAAAACTTTAAAAAAGACAACTGGCAACAATACAGCTAGGTAAAGAGATGGCCGAGCTGTCGTTACTGTCAAACGTAGCTTGCTTGGTGGCCCTACCCCCAACGTTTCTTGTCGAATAGTCACGTGCTGAGGAAAACAAACAGTGAAACCGAAACCAGAGAAATGTGACGTCATATTGATGACGCCATATTGAACTGGAGTCGCGGGGAGCCATTTGCCGCGACTACGCGTTCAAACTTTTTTTTTTTAAATCAACATGTCTCTTTTATCGCCATAAAAGTTACGTTTTATTATTCTAGTTACTATTAATTTTAATATATGTCACAGACGACCTACAACTTCAAAAATATTTGGCCACTCTGTCGTCATGCACGTGACAATGAAAAATAGAGTGTTAGTAGACGTGAACACCCGTGGCGTGACTGGCGGCTTTCAGCAGAAAACAAAAACAAATTTTCTGCCAAAAATATTTTTTTTGCTAGTTCGACCTTCGCATAATGTGTTTCAGTAAACATTTTGGCAAAGAAAAACAACTGCTCAGTGTCCCTTTACAATTTTTTTTTATTTACACAAATATTTGTTTTATTTATCAGCAGGCACTGCAAAAATTGAGTGGCATTCGCGTTTGGGTGCGCTGAAAATGCGAGCACTGCAAGCTTAATCGAATATGTATTTTAGTTGCTGGTTGTACCCTGTGAGATTTCAAAGCTTAAAGGAACACTGACACCCCCCAAAATTTTTTTTTCGCCAGACGATTCATTATAGTATCAGAAGACTACCCAATTAATATTTTGCTACAGCGTCACATACATTTTTAATAGCGTAAAAAAAAAAACGCAACTGTTTGAAACCGAAACCGGACTGGGGAGGTAGAAGAAATATAGAGGAAGAGAGAGGTGGCGGAAGTCACGTGACTGTGATACTTTCTTCCCCCAAACAACGTATTTGCAGCTTCTTAGGAGCCAGAAACAATGGGTATCACTTTCTTTTTCTATTCTTAATATTGTGTGTGTGTCTTCAATGACCTACGACTTTGATTATATTTGGAAGTTATGTCTAAACCTTAAAAAACGGCCCGTGACCACGGAGATGAGAGTGAGCGCGACTCAAACCGGCCAGTTCTTGATAGGCGGTTTTCGGGTGGAAAGAAATCGAATTTCGTGCCATAAGTTCTATTCTGGGTAGTTGGGCTCTCATATGTCGCGTACAACTAAAAACCGAGGCGAACATAAATGCCCTGTCAGTGTCCCTTTATCTACGTTTCAGTGAAGAATACGAACTAAATATTTTAAACTTTGATAGCTGCATTCAGACGTGCTCCAGTTGGAGGTGGTGCTACATGTCAATGAAGGGCACGGTGGAATAAGAGAGACGCGTCTGAATGGCATTGCCTCGCCATGGCATAAGTCTGTCGAATGCTCACTGTCGCTTCAGGCAAACGCCGTGAGATGACCAACATGTCTAGATACTCCAGGAATCGTCCTTATTCGCGCGCACATTTTTCAAGGCAACAAGGCGCACCACCGTGCCTGCTTGGCGGCCCCTAACCCGACAGTGCCCATGCCGGGAGAAGCTCGAAGCCCGAGCAGCTCAAAGCCGGAGCAGACCTCTCTTTACCTGGCCTTTTTCAGACACCTATTTTCTTTTTCTACCGTGTTGAAGGACGAGCGTCGTGTCGGCAGCAAGTTTGCACAACCGCATTGTCCTCTATTCCAATTTTACTTTAATTTGAGACTCATTTCGCTTATTTAGTTTTGTAAGAATGCTTGATTACACGAAAATTATGTTCAAACGACAGCGGCCGTCACGACATGTTCTAAAAGCGACATGTGGCGCCACCTCTTAAGGCACATGTAACGCTCCGTAGGGGGCGAGCGCCCTGTTACAAGAATTGGGGTGCAACTGAATACTAAAATTTGTAGTAATTTAGATTATTTTTATTATTATTATTGAGACAGCATCATCTTGAGATTTCGCAAGCGAAAACCACCAGTTTTGTCCCGCTCATGACTGTTCAACTGGTTCATCACCACTGCCCGAAAATGATAGAGTAAAGCTGAATTATTTCCAGAAGCAAATCAAAACTGTGGGTCCAAAATTAACTTCACCAGATCTTTCATATTTTCAAGTGATTATATATTCTGTGAAAGTCTGAGTATTTTGTAGCTGTCTTATACCTCGCAGCTGTCTTGTACCTTGCAGCTTGTTCGTGGCAGAGTTGATGTGCTCGAACACACATGAAACAACCTCAATCGAATAATATCTAAGGTATTCAACAAGTCTCAAAACAGGTTTCTTTTGTTTGTTTCATGCAAGCTAGCTCGAGCAAGCCAGCACAGCCACCTGCTGGTGTAGCAGCAGGAGTTAGCGCTAGTCGCGAAACCCAATGTTGACCAACAACAAGGCAGTTGTCTAGCGACATATTTGCTCATTTCCCGGAAAGATGGGGAATCCAGCTCACAAGTCTCTAACCCAGTCTTGGCAACTCAATACATCCACTACCCATCGGGTGGCAAAACCATTGCCATCATCCCAATGCACATTCATGCAGCGCCACTGTGCCAATTACCCCAAGTGATCTCTGCCACGAGTCTCTCTGTGTAAGTCTGGCACTGTACCAATTAAAGGGCATTACCGCTGTTCATTGACAAACCATTATACTTAGTCGTTATCCTTCTGCTCTTGTCGGGTAACCTCGCACCAACACGACGCGATATTTGTATTTTGGTGGGTCGCAGGAGAGAGATTGGGAAGCACTGACGTAATTGTTTCTATCCTCTCCGGTGCGTGAAGGGAAAACCTATCCTAACCAATATTACTATACAAAACGGAAGTGAATGGCATGTGGACTGTATGCGGCTATTCTTGAGTATGGCGCAGGAAAAACATATACTTATAAGCCCAGGATCGAGGTGTCTCCACGGCGAAGTGCGAAACTGGCAATTTCAAGATAACGGGAACCAAAAGAGTCAAACTCTGTGCTGTTATGTAAAGAAAAAAAAATGAACTCACGGATACGAACTCAGCCTGTTGTGTATAGTTTCGAGACAAGTATGGAACGCTTGCGTTCGAGGTACGTCATATTATTGAAACGTTTACTATTATTCCAGGTAATTCGTATACTGATTACGGAATTTTTGGGGGGAGGGGGGAGGGATTTTTTGGCTTTCTTTTTCCGTAATGCCGAGTGTTTGATACTCTAGGCCACCGTAAGGAAGACAGCACGATATTTCTGGCATATGGTACGTGCTCCATGTGCTCCAGATGTCCCTTCAGTGTTTGTTCCACCATACAAGGCTCAGAAGAATGACACGTGAAATCCCCACAATGGGCGTGATATAACAGCACTGGCACCCTACATTCTTCGGACTTAATTGCCAAAGAACCGTCGTAAAATCATATTCATATTATCGAGAGTCGATCCGTAACTTCCCTCAGGTATGTATCTCTATAAAGCCGCGGTCCAACTGCTAATAAACTAAAAATGAACGTTCAATGAGGCGAAATTGCGTCTAGAAACTAAAAGCGAAATGCGGCAGCATCTTGCGTCGGCGACGTATAGCGCGACTGACCCGAAGCAGTTACCGACGGTTTTATATACGTTGTGCGTACTGGAATGGTTTGAACCGGAACACACGACGACAGCCGAAAAGAGAGGGCTCAAACTTTTTAGGGGAGTAAGGATCGGTCGAAGAAAGAGGCTTGAGCCCCGGTCCCTCACGTAGGAGCCGCGATGCGCTGCCAACCTCGAGGCACACACGCGGCAATACCTCATAAGACAGTCTAGAGACACTGTCTGAGCTGCGTTTGTTTTCCTTGTATGACGGTCACACTGGATATACAAAACCCGACTTCCGACATGTTCGAAGACTATACATATGTATAAGAAATGCTTGGAACATGTTTGAGGCGTGTGCGCAGATAATTCTGTCGTCATGTCTGCACTGTGTCTTTTGTATGATGTATACGACCAGTGTGATTACGGCTTAATGGAAGCTTCATTTTAGTAACTGCCGTCACCGTCGACCATTATCGGTGGGATTTATGGAACGCGCGGAGTCGTTAGCATAAATAGGGACTTTTAGCAAACCGCTGCCGCGTTTCGAGTACCGCACTACCGGAACCTAAAGCTACATGCTCGTAGGAACAATCAACAATAGGTGGCCATGCATACAGCGTGGTCATACTCTCCGGGTAGTCAAGGGGCATAGAGTGGATCAGGCACTGAGGGACAGGCGACTGACTGATCTAGAGACAAAGAGTACATATAGCTTTCACTGCTCATCAACTTAGCAGTGAATCAAGTACGGACATTTAATACCGATCTCACTAACATCTGCTATGTGTACGATGCTATGTATACTTTGTGGGCCAATTGGAACAAATGTATAAAACAAGAATCGTAAAAATTTGTTTCGGGCGGTATGGTACTGTAATTTGTCATTTCGTTTCGAGAAGTATTTTCTAAAATGCTTGGCTCAATCGAAAGTTATAATTAAATACGATCGATTGTCTGAAGGACACAAATGGAGTTCAGCCTTTTCCATACAACCGAGAAAGAACTTTCTCGGGTGTGAACAAAAAGAGGAATAAAGGCGACGCAGTGATCATCTTCCTTCCTTCTCATCTTTGGTTGAAACAACCGTCCAAACAACGCAAAGACGTGAGACAAAAACAACAACAAAAAAAAAATCATTTGTGTATTTACAAATATTACTGTCTTTGTCTGTCGATTTTTTAATGTTTTTTCTTTTAAATATTGTTACAAAAACAACCCAACACCATCACATATCAAGTCAACCATACGCGCAACACAAAATGGGAAAACAAGATGTCAGGGGATGCAAAACCGCACTTACAGCGCACGATGCCGAACAGCCGGGCGATCTCCTTCGAGACGTTCTCCCGTTTCGGGTTGTCTTTGTCGTCGCGCCGGAGCTTCCCGTACAACCAAGGGTTATTCTGGACGTGCTCGAGCAACTGAAAGCACTTGCTTTGGACATCAAAG